ATTCCACTTGGTTCGTCCACATGGCCTCTCAGAGTGAGGACACCTGGAATGTCTATACAAAGCGGAGGAACCACTGCGTCAAATGCTTCCTGGCGGATAGAGTAAAGCAATAACAAGCCCTTGTGCTAAGCTCTTGCTCTAACAACGGGCTAGCTCACCAACGTGAGGACAAAGTTCGAAGAGTGATGCGGGGTAGTTCTGCTATGTACACACAATACACCTTTGAACAAACGGGGAAAAGATGGGGTTAACGTTCTTCAGTAACAGGTTACCCGTACCTGCCAAAGTTTACCGTCGTCTTACGTCCTGCCTATGCAGAGCATTCCGCCATCAAGTATTAACCATATACCCTTTACAGCCACAGATATATTGGACTGATTGCTGCGCTTGTGCGGTTTCAGCTCCCGCTGGTGCAGACGACATTTGCATTGAAAACGGCCGCCTCGAGTTTGGCTGAACCATTAGCAATATTTGTTTAATGAGATATTAGCTAGATGACTATCCCCACCATGTAGAACTACGGGTTCATCACTCCAATCTACAAAAGTAATGGCCGTGCAAGACCATCGAATTGTTGACCGATAGCAGGACTTACTTTGATCTCCAAGGTTGTGGAGTCCATCGTCCATGAGACACTCATGGGACACATTGACAGTAACAATAATCAAGCACCGTAGCAGCAAGGAATTCTCCAGAATCGGTCATGCGCTACTGACCTACTGTTAGCTCGTGCATGCTGGACGAGAGATGTGAATGCTGTTGTAGAAGCAGATGTTGCCTGCTCGGAGTTATCGGAGGCACTCGACCGTCCAGGTCACCGCATTCTACTTCACAATATTCAGAATTATGAAATCAGCTATCTCATTATGGGTTGCATAGGCGACTATCTCGTTGCACATCATCTGAATGTGAGGGTTCTCAATACCGTATCAGAACCAAGCGAATTTCAGTGCGGCGCACCTCAGGGCTCAGGGCTACGGCCCACCCGTTCCCGGTCTTTATGAATGATCTTACGAGAGTGTTATCCTCATACTTCGTGCTATTTGCCAATAATATAAATATCTGGCGTTCTATCACTACAGTGGATGTTCAAAAAACCATACAGAATGCGCTGGATAATGCAAGTACATGGTCTGTAATGAAGTTGGTCAGTTCCACGCCATCATGTGCAAAGTTCTGAGTATCATCTTCATTATATATGCAACTGTAGATGGAATCACCTCAGCTGTGGTGCCGAATTACAAAAGGAAAGAAACAAGTGTAGCAGTGACACGCATGCGGGGTCCACAGTATCGGATAGAAATCGTTCCGAAGGACTAACAGCCGGCTTTAGTGCCGCAGATAGTCAAATAATGCCTATTCTTTTGAGATGGTAGTTTGAGTGGGAGGCTAAGCGGAGAGGATGGATAAAGGAACTCACAACACAAAAGCGATTGAGGTATTCTCCTAACAATGTCAACAAATGTGTCCAAACAAACACGTTCATCTGCCTTCGGTCCCCAACCAGGGAGCCGAGAGACTCCAACCGGGACCAACTTCGGAGTAATGGCCTACATATCACTCGGTCAAGTCATCGCTTGACCACCTCTCATCTTCTTTCTTCCGTACCCCTGGTGCGTAACCAACGTAAGTCGCGGAAGTCGGTTGACTGGCATGCGCAACGAGTGGACCAGCCATCGGAGCGTGGTGCGTGAAACGACCGTGCTGAGTGGTTCGCTTCTTCTTCTTGCGCCATAAACAAAGAGTCGAACACGCTCATTGATCACATGGTGTTCCCACCAAATATGAGGCAAACTGCGAAGGCACCGGTGGTGGAACGTTGCTAGCCTCTTTACGTCCGCTGACCTAAGGGGCCAGGTTTCACAAGCTTACAGCTGGGTCGGGCACACGGCTGCTCCATAGGTGGTAAAGGTCAGCAAAATCGCCTTCGATATTTGCCATACGGTTTGTGACCTCGTCTTTAATTACCAGATTGATGCAACTAACTAGGTAGTTGAACTTTTGGACGACTTCTATCTGCTCTCCACCTACGTTCAGCGCAGGAGGCAGTCCCTGCCAATCTTGAAAGAAAGCTTTGCATTTGGAATATGCTAAGAATAGCCCGAAACGGGTGATGGCCAGTGCTAATCGGTCCAGAGTCGCTTCGCACGTTTGGGAGCTGTCACACATTAGGGCAATATCTTCTGCATACTTCAAGTCAAGAAGTCGTTCACATGGGAGCAGCCCCACACCTTCTAAGTCGTGTCCTGTGCGCGCAATTTCTATGACTTCGTCAATAGCGAAGTTGAATAGAAAATGTGACAGCGGGCTTCCTTGTTTTACACCGCTGGAGATATTGAATGGCGGCGACAACTTGCGGTAAGCCCTTACGCTGCCCGTGCTACTCACGTAAAGCACTCATAATATTTATGTAATTCTCTGGCACACCTTTCCTTAGCAGACAGTCCCAAAGGGCCTGTCGATCTACAGAATCGAAGATACCATTGATGTCAAGGAACACGACAACTGTGGGCTGCCAATATATATAACGGCGCTCCAACAACGGACGCAAAGTGAAGATGTGATAGATGCATCCTTGACCACGAGGAAATCCAGCTGGCTCTTCGCGAATCTGGCTTTCACGGTGGCAAGTGAGTCTTTGAAGGATTAGGAAGGCAAGTAATTTGAAGGTAATGGAGATCAGAATGATTCACCAATGATTGCCGCATTGCGAAGGCGAGCCTTCGTTAAAGCTCGGGACACTAACGGATCGGCTCCAGTCGGTTGGGACAGTTTCTTTCTCCCACAGTTTCACTAGTAATTCGTGTAAATCATCAACATGAGCAGGGCCCCGAAGTTGTATACAGCTGGATTAAGATCATCAGGTCTTTTGGCTTTCTTCAACTTCAACTGTCCGATCTCACGTTCGAATTCTGAGCGAGAGGGCGGATTCAAAGAGACAGCCCAGAGATCAAGCCGAGCATTGGCCGGTGAGGGAGCTAAAAATTCCGGTCGATTAACTTGCTTTTTGAAATGCTCAGCCCAACGCTCCAAGCGTTTTGACAAGTTATGGATGGACCGTCCACTCTCGTCACGTATAGTTGTTCTAACACTAGGTCTCCTGCTGCCCGTTTCTCGTCTCAGACGAAGTACTTCCGATGGTTACCAAGGGTGGCGGCCACTTCCATCTCTGACGCAAGGTGAGACCACTACGCTTCACGGTTTCTCCCCAGGCTAGCACGGAGTATTGCTCTGATGTCTTTGCTAATCTCGCTGTGTTCGCTTCTAGCCGGAAAGTGCCGGGTAGCATCGATAAGTTCCATAGACTGTGAAGAGCTCCGATATATTTTTGGCTATTGAATTTAGCACATGATGATTTAGCTGCTTCATGGAAGGTCTGGTGGACTTGCGACCAGTGACCTTCAACTGTATTCAGTGAGCGCTTGCTCAACCCGAACGTCAGCGTACTTTGATACGCATTCAGAACATCTGGCTTCGCCAGTTGGCTGGTGTCTTGGCACCTACATGGTCGTGGAGGTCGACCGCCAAAACGCACCTGCAGATCACACATACAAGTGCTTGGTCAGTGCCCACACATGTGCTCCATATCAAGCGCCCGCTTTGTGCGCAGTCTGTCCAGCGATAATTGATCGCGATGTGATCGATTTGTGTCGGTGACTGTCTCGAGGCTGTTGGGTGCCATGTCACCTACCGACAGGTTCTGTGTCGAACGTTAGTGCACGCAATAAATAAGTGAGCATCTTCACACCAATGAAGTAACCGCTCACACTTATCACTACGGGAGCCTACAACATATTGGGCGCCCAGATGCAACTCATCAGTGGAGAATTTCCCGACGTGAGCGTTCAGATCCCCCACCGAACACTACAGTGTCCGTGCTTTTTCTGTGGCGAAGAAACACATTCAATTGAAGTCGTCTTTCATGGAATCATCGCTACAGTTTGTGGGGGCGTAGGCAGCGATGATAAACGGACACTTATAAGCCTCGCGTGACCTCGAAGCCTTGAACAAGCCAGCCAGTCGGACAGCACAGGTTCGGCTATTGGTTGGGATCCATTCAAGCAAAGCAGCTTCAGTACGGGGAGCTCGGGAAATATCAACACCGGCTTGGCCGGTACTCGAAGCTGCATTATCTCCAGATAGATGTAATGAAAAAGTACTGTTGGTGTCACCTGAAGTGGATCGCAAAGTGAGAACAGAGCTCGGGTCTTCTAGGCGGGGTCTCCGTAGGCAGCATATTTCGATCGAGAGGGTCTCTAATGTTCGGACAAGTGCTGCTTGTTGACCGATTATTAACAAGGTAGGTACGCTGAGGCAAGCTAATCAGAGGTAGGATGCAGGGCTTCAAATAAAAGTCGATGAATTGGGTTTGGCCGCTTGGTTAGACATGGGCTTGTCGCTAGGGCAAGGGTGACGCTCTGCATTTGCATGTGAGTTGAAGCTAGAAGATAAACGTCTACCAAAGCATGGTGAGGGGCCAGAAATTGAGGGTTGAAAACGGGGGAATGGCAGTGAAGATGGAACGGGACGATAAGTGCTAAAAGAGTAGGGTTTGAGAAGTAGCATACAAACCCCTTTTTCACCCTGCTCGATGCAGCAGATAGGGCACTGTTGCTTATCATCTGCAGTGGTCAGGGCATCAAGAACTTGTTTGCGAAAAGATCAATGGTATCGCATGGGCGAAATACTGTCAAGTTGCCCAAACTTAGACAAGCGAACGATTAGCGTTCTCAACCAAAGCCTTTGGTTCAAAAACCTGACAGCAAGGCAGCGGGTTCGGCAGCAGGCTACGAGGAGTAAATTTTAAGGAATAAGGAGCCACCATCACCCCAACACCCAACCCGGATTGCCAGGAGATGGAGTTTGTCTAGCCTCTAACAATTGATCAATATGGTCTGAATGGCTCTGAAGGTGCAAAAAGCACCACGCAGCATAACTCAATGGATCACTGAGGTATGCAAACCATCGCACCACGGTAAATTCCAGCCTCATTGCTATAGAAGTTCTAAACATACTCCATCAGAGACTCAGGACTGCTGTATAAGACCACAAATTCTAAAGCGCGCGATCTCGGCGTGTTGGTGTTAAATGACCTTAGCTATTTGAGGCGGACTGAGAGAGTAGCACTTCGGCTCCCTTCGTAGAGCGTTCGGAACGCTTGATGTCTCAATGTTTCCAACAGTGCTTTGCACGCACGTAAGGCAGCGCGCGCAATACCCTATACAAGCGTCGTAAACTTGGCGGAAGCGTTACTTCGCCTTGCTCGAGAGTGAACAACGCAGCAGGATTAAGAACGTAAAAGTTTTATTCCACCTCCTTTACTAGCGCTGACTGAAAACAATATGATTGTACAGCGGACGTTATCGGAGTCTACGGGGCAACCTGAAAATGGTGTATCAAATCTTGAAAAGCCCCAAACACACACGTCACCATCTTTCAAAACTCAGAAAAGCAAATCTCCTAGGGGTCATCGCTTTAAGCTAGCCACGCACTACAGCCGACTGGGTTAACAGTCACTTTCTCCCTCAGAGAGTCACAGCGCAACTAATTAAAAAACAAGATGATTCACTGACACATTAAACACTTCATAACCCATGAGCATCAGCTGATTGCTTAAGTGCGCAACATAGTGGACGGTGTCATAATCCTTTTATACCCAAATTCGTACACGTGCTTATGTAATCCTCTTGCTGATTCGTGTATCTCACGTGTTCTTTTGACGACAATGTGTTATTACTTTAATTCTCACTTTTACCATTCTACTGGATCTATCAAACATCTGCTTATTTATCCGGTATAAAACCTTTGATTCATAACTAACAAATACGCCTAAAAATTGGTTTCCATTGTTCTATGAACAAAATGCGGCCATCTAAAAGTTTAAGTTGATAGAACGGCTTCTTGCCTGGAAATAAGCCTAATTACTTGCAAAATGTATGGGACAGCTGGCGACCCAATGGCTGGTTAACCTCTTCATTGAGTATCATCACTTTAAACGCAAAGATCAATGGGATCCTTCCGGTGCTCTTAAACGTTTTTGCGTTATTCATCTGTAAAATCCAATTGCCAACCTAATGCTAAGGGTCTAACCTTAAGAAGTTGTGATGAAATTCATTGTAACTCCCGAGGGCAGCCAATGTTCCAAGGCTGATGGAGTAACTGAAGAAGATTTGCGATCCAGCGTCAATCCAAACCTGGAAGTTGGGTAGAAAATAAGGCGAAGAATAGTAAACAAGAAATGCAACGAATTCTGCAATGGTATAGAAGATCATGAACAATGGAACGCGTGTCTTAACAATATGTATGTATAGGCAGAACAACGTAGGATGACATAGCTAACATAAAGATATCATCGAAAGATGGGAATGGATGGTATGGTAAATTGAGTAGTAAACTTGCGAGAGGAATAAGTCCGCATCGCGGAACGCACTATCGTTTCACATAAACAAAGCCGTCAGTATGACAAGCTTGCTTTTACGGGGATGACTGATGACCAAGTTATCCAGGTTATGGTCTCCCCGTGAGTAACTCGCTAAACTACTATGGCTGCACAATGTATTGCTTTACAAGTTTACTAATGCTGTTTCTTACTGTGAAGGTTGGTCTAAACTCAAAATTGGAACAAAGGCGGGATGGTCACCAGCATAGTATTAAGGTGCGGTTAGACACAATTTATTCACTATGGTGTTCGCAGAGCGGCTTCCGTAAGCTGTCTCTGCCTCTGCTTCACATTTTCCCCGTTGATTTAACTGATCACCTGCGACCCAAAAAATAAGTGTAAAATACTTTCGTTTGCTTGGTTTGCTATACACATTGTTAGTGCCCGTAACGAGCCTTTTGTTGCTACATTTAAGATAACGGTACGATGTAATTCACTTCCGTTTCAGGTAAAACATGATGTGCATCCAAATCACTCGTTATGTTAGGTATGTCGAGCAGTAGTGTAGCTAGTCGTCCTGGTATTACCATACAATTAGTTGTTAAACTAATAATTAAAACATGACGAAGAACAAAGCAAAGGAATTAAATCTCAATGCGTAAGAAGATTTATCACTCACAGATAAGATACAGAAAGTGCCTTCGCCACTGCCTCGAGCTCGTTCAAATCAGATAGCAGCCATTGTTAGCAGTCATCCGGAGGACATTATCTACCTAAACATGTTTATTTCCGATTCATTGTTTCGCCACCACACCAAAGATTGATCACCTAGAGTTATCGTTGTTCGTGTACGTAACAGACTAGCAACAGGCCGAGGCATGCAAATGAGACATTAAAGCAAACAAAGTTTGATGGAGTACACTATCAACTCAGTATGGCACACATGGTTACGATGCCAAGCATCAACCTCAGAATTACTCTTTTAGTATCCAGAACAAACACGGGTGAGGTTTTGAAGACACCAGTGCCAAATGCATTCCTATCTGTAGTCGCTTCTTCCAGCACTGCCTTGATGAGAGTCACCTACCTACTTTGTGGAGGCATAAAATAATAGCCCCAATGCAACAAAGAGTTAGTGGTTCCAACCCAGCAAATCACCGTCCAGTACCCGTTTTGCAAGTGCTTTTAAAATTTACAGAAGCTATAATTTATGAAGCCCTCATGTTTTAGGTGGAAGAATTTGGCTACATCTCGCAAGAACAACAACGTTTCCCCCCAGAATGAATGCTGCACCACCAATCTAGCGTTAGCACAAGGCAGTTAGATAGAAACGGTGGATGTTGTCTACCTCAGCTTCTTTACCGTAGTTAATAGCTAGGAGCATCCCATTCTACCCTCCAAGCGTTAGAAATACTGCATTGATCATGATGTCCACTGGTGGATCGGCATCTTTCTCTTGCACGTTTTTCTGAAGGTAAAATAGTGTTACTAAGTATCGGATTCTATCCAGGTCGAATACAGTGCAATACGTGTTTCAGCGTTGGTGCCTCATCTGTTCTTGATTTTTTAGTACTGATCTGGTAACATAATCACTTCACATTGTTTGCTTCATCCTGACGACATCGAGGTATGCAAAGTTATCAGCGTGCCATTTCGCCACACACAGTCTCAATGCGACTATCTGTATGGTTTAAAGATACTCAGTCCAAAATCCCCATGAATTGGAAATAGGTAAATGTTAACTGCATCATTCGTGACGCGCGGTAGTTCACAATGTTAGCACAAAAATGCTTTTGGTGTGCTGAACCTATGAGAGCATGGCGTCCAAAACAGGAGAACGACGAAGCTGCAAAACATAGGGCTTACAGGTAGAGGTTTTGGGCGTTTCGATTTGTCGATTTTCCTCAGACCGCTCTCTGCATACGTGCACTATCACGTGGAGTATGCAAACCAAGGTTGACACTGATAATAAAATGGGATATCAAGATTTCGGACATCCTGCAAGGCTGACCAACAACCTCCGTTAATTAGCTGTGCCCTAAGAACAGCAAATGGACGTCACTGGTCTTCAGTGATCAACAGCCGCTTTTGAGTTGTGACATCACGGTTTAGCAAAACGTAAGCAACACTGATCATTCGCGTTGACACCTGTCGAAAACCAACCATGAAATAACATTGGACGTCACCATTCTTAACCCGGTAAAACAAAACAACTCTTTTGCGTTCATCGGGTTTTCATTTAGCCAATTGATTACATTTGGGATGTTTTCCTAGTACATGTTAGTTCGGATCCTACGTTATCTATGTGCACAGAGTCCCGAGAACTCACTTAACCCATTACACCAGGTCACATAACCCAGTGATCCACGTAAACATGGCAAAGTCAAAACACTGCAACTTACGAAAGCCTGAAGTGACAAACAATTTGATGGCTTCAAGCTTTTTATGAACCATTCGGGTGAACGACTATTTGATCAGCAATTTCAGTCGCTTGCCTTTTTTTGTAATATTTATTGGAACACACAACCGACTATCCGGCTTACACAGTTTCTGCTTTTTCATCCGGATACTGGCATTGATCAACAAACACATAAAGACTGGTTATGCGGTATACAGAGTAGCCTTAGACAGACTCCAGATTGGTGCATCTTAACTTTGAATATTGAACTGATAATTCGCCCCCAGCCAATAGCTGTCGCTTAAAAGGTCGATACGCCTCACTTTTTGACTTCTGTTGGTTAAGGACTCCAACACATTTGATGCAAGTAACCAGTTACCCATTTATTAGACCCACGAAAAACAGTGAGGCATTAAAGTGTAATGAATTTGCTTAGTGTTATAGGAACTGTGACATAACCGTTAGCTCTGTGGCTATTGAAAATGCTCGGTTGTGCAATCGTTTTTGATAGGTGACTATACCAGCAAAGTAGACCACCATAGGCCAAGTTTTTTGCTACCTAAGTTGGCTAGAGTGAAGAACATTGCAAAGCAGGACCTGCTACAGCTGTGCCAGTCCAAAGATCACTGGAAGCTCACACAATACAAATTCATGTTTGACCGCTCCTTCACCACCCATATGCTTGTGATCAAGCATGAATGGTTGCAGACGATAAAAAAGGACTTTATCTAGATGGTCTGCATTAAATTTAGCCCAACTTACAGTAAAGGAAATCAAGAAGCTCTCCTCATCGAGCTGAAATTATCGAGACTTGGTGGCATACAGCACCAGTGATTACGGAGTTGAACGAAAGATAACGGACATCTAACCAAGTGGTATAGCTGGACCAGCAGCCTATCACAGGGCACTGTGCTAGGACTCACTCTGATCCTGACATAATTCAACGACCTGCTTCATCTTCTCTTTCCCTCTTTGCCCTTCGAAGGACATTAAGATGAAAGATTGCTTGACGTTATTGACGGCTTCTGTCACTTTAGCAGGAACTCAGTAACCTCTGCATGTGGTCTATGTTACGACCAGGTCAACCCAACCTAGTAAGCGTTTTGAGCATACATGGAATGGTGATAGCCTAAACAACAACATCAAACTCCGACTATTGTGTTCCACACATTTCTTGAAGTATCTAGGCTCTCTCTCACGCTGCAATATTTTTCGTAGACAACACCAACAGGCTGTAATGCAAGAGTGTTCGCATGCGGAGTAATGTAAGCGCAAATTCCGCACTATGCCTCATCTTACTCTCCACCGTAAGATCAATGCCAGTGTTCGAATCTGTGGCATACCGCCCAATCTTTCGAGCGATGGCACAGAATATCGAACTGGTTCAACACATCCACATCATGCTTATCGTAGTTTACAGGGCTTAATGTTCAAAAACTCGTGCGAGAAAACAGCGCTGTAAACATCGTCCTATTGTCAGGTATGATACGATCAGATCATGGCTTTCTGTGGTGCCTCCCACATGATGATCCTGTTGCTGCACTTGAAAACAACCTGGTAGCGCGCAGACACTGGTACGAGCTTGAGGAACAGGGTCTTAAAAGATTTGCCCACTCCTGTGCTTCGGACAGAGAGTTGTCACTATCGAGGACCGTTTTCCAGAAGACATAATGGAGGACAAATATACAACAGTTCAAAACATCGCCGGATTTACACTTTGCCAAGGTGCGAGTCAGAAAACCATTACCCCTTGACAGGCACAACCCCCATTTGTGAGTCCTGCATTACTGTGAGCCAGACATTTATAAACATGACATGGAAACATTAGTAAAAGACAATACCATTGAAAGCTAACAGTTACACTTTGTACGTTTTTGCTAGTAGTTTGATGGATTTGTAAGTTAATATGCTACTTGCTTCAATGCTAAAGTATTAAGTGTACAATTTCCAGTCGAAAATTCGAATGCCAGACCATAAGTTCCAGTTTGAGGACACTTCGCTTGATTTCCACTAGATCAGTCTAGCCATTGTTTTCAGAAACGACTTATTGTTGTCATTGTTTTAGCAGCACCAACTCAGACCTATGCAGTCGTGTCTTGCATTGCTGTGAAGAAAACATGTCTTTATTTATTTACCTAAGTTAAGGCGCTGTATAAGTCCCTGATGGTGGTTGGACCAAATTAAATCTGGGTCGTTTTCCGTGCAGTAGTATTCTTGAAAATTTATTAGCAGCCTGCAGTAAAGCGCTTTATTGTCGACACTGAGGCCTTGGTCAGCACACGGTCGCATATATATAGACATATATATATATATATATATATATATATATATATATATATATATATATATGCGCGCAAATGTACGTTATGTATAACGGATTTGTGTGTAGAGCAATGCCTTTTATTCTCCAGTAAAAAGAAGATTGTGATCCTACTGAAAATTCCATGAGTTTCTCCCAATCCGCTGAGATGAAATGGCGTAATCCATCCACGGCTCCTTCCAATGTGACAGCGCGCCCGAGTAAGATGAACATGAAGAGATACGGGGCGGTGGCAGTAAAGTACACGACCTGTAAGTAAAAGCGCAAGGTTAGCATTATGAAGTCCATGTCGAATGTTTACGAAAATAGTTTCTTTCTTGTTGGATGCAGAATAACAGTATGTTTACTACCAAACCAATGATGACATATGTGATACAAGTCCTCCTTAGGATTGGAATTCTAAATTATATGCACGGCAGCTGTCACTGGATGTAAGCTATTAGGTTTATAGCCACTTGATGTGAAGGGTCCAAAATACAAGCACGACTTACCTTACCAGATGCTTTGATTCCCCTGAATACGCAGAGAAATACTATAACCCAGGCGAGAAGTAAGCAGAGTGCCAGATGCCACTGGATGCGCCCCATATTCTCGATGCCAGTTGACAAACCAAGTACGCGGTTTCTGTAAACATGTGGTTGAATCAATGAGCATCAGAGCAACGGTAATGTTAAAGGGTACCTCACATGAATTTTGCTGGTGTACTGAAATAATTGTTATCTCATTTCTGACAAATACCTGACAATTGAGGATGATGTATCATGTACGCTTATTTCCTTCAACGTTGAAAAACACCACTTGACGATTAAATTTTACTCGCTGGAATTTTTACACCCCAACAGGAGGCAAGGGACGGCGGTTCGTAGACTAGATCAGTGAAATCGAGACGCAGCCTGTGTACAGAAAACTAAATCAGCGCCGTTAGCGCGAGATGGCCAAGCTTGCACGCGCCCGGTGAACGCCTCAAGGTTGGTTTGGCGCATGGTGAACAAACTACAACTCTTTGGGAAAACTGGTAGCTAGGGTTGATAATTCAGTTGCTCATTTGCTCTCCGAGCAGGGAAATTTGTTTGCAAACGTTTCACCGCCATGCGAGGCAGCATCATCAGTGTGTCGAGATGTGAAGTGTAATCCGTGTGTCTGTCAACTTACTTTTCATTTAACGGGAAGATTTACGAGCAATTGAAAGGCATGAAAATGGGATCACCTATATCGGGACTCATCGCGGAGATGGTAATTCAGAAATTGGAGGGAGATGTACTCCCACTAATGAGTCCGAAACTGTGGGTCCGATATGTTGACGACACTTTTGTAATCATCAAACGCAATCATGTTGCAGTGGCACGGCATTTATTGAACAACGCCATTGAAGACATCCGGTTTACGATGGAAATTTGGAAGGAAAACCAACCGCCTTTCCCGGATGTATTAGTAACCAGAACCATGCAAAGGAGGCTGCAAACATCAGTTTAGAGAAAATGGACATATACGGACCAAATTCTGCATTTTAACAGTAACCATCCGAAATGTCACCAAGTAAGCTGTGTGCGGACACTATTTGGTAGAGTGCAAACACACTGCAGTACCACGGAGGCAAAGCAGCGAGAAGAGAAGCATCTATTTAAATATTTCCAACTCAACGGATATCTACGAAGCTTCATCCAAAGGTGTCTGAACCACAACAAACCAAACAGAGTCTACACCAACGACGGAGAGACGCGTTGTTTTACCTTAAATGAAAAATATATCCGAAATGGCAACAAAACTATTCAAACTACATCACCTCATCGTAGCACACAAACCAACTGCTACATTAAGGAAAACTCTGTCGAAACCGAAAGAGCAACTGGAAGCTGATGACCAAAGTAATGTTGTATATAGACTAAGTTGTTGAAATTGCGAAAAGGACTGTGTTGGTCAAACAGGTAGAAAATTATCAACACGATTACAAGGGAACAAAAGAGCATGCAAAAGACACTATGCATCTTCGCTAGTCTCAGCACACGTGGATGAAAACGAACACAGCTTTGATTGGGCCAAAACAGAAGTCCTGGTACTAGGTAAACTAGGAAGAGCAAGGGAGTTCCTGGAAGTGTGGTTCTTAACAAAAGACTCTATCAATATTCATATCGAGATGGACCCAGTTTACTAACCCCTTCGACGGAGAGAAATTAGTGAAATTATGAGACACCGCTTGAATAGGAACAACCTCCGCCACGGGGAAATGGGTAAAGATCACGGGACACAGCTCGAAGTTGTCACTTTCGAAAAGTCACCTGCACGCCGATCACGGATCGACAATTCAATCAGCGAGATTATACTCCACATCTCGACGCACTGATGATGCCGCCTCGCATGGCGGTGAAACGTTTGCAAACAAATTTCCCTGCTCGGCGAACAAATGAGCAACTAAACTACAACTCTGTTCCGATCACAATACGAGTGGTTCAAAATGCCCTGAACGAATGTTGAGTTCGAGCCAATGTGCCGAAGCAGATACCTAGGGCAAGTCTGCCACTGAACATGTGCTTTGGTGAAATAGTGTTGCCAATTCATATACAGTCGAAGATGACCCTTTGTTCCATAGTAACATATTTTTGCATCTGTGCAATCATCGTTGTGACACACAGAGAGCTATTTGCACACTCCAGATAACTAAACTTGCATTACCTAAACAATCCTGCCTCCTGCGCTCAAGATGCAGCCTATGATACTCCAATACATGGGTTGAACAGAAATGTAAACAGATAAAACATATTACCGTATGACGAAAAGAACTGGACTGAATCGATAATCTCCGTGAATCCGCATCAACGGAATTTTAGAGCTTAAAAATATCAGCCGACATTATCAGCACAAATTTCGGGCGATGGCTGACGATGTTACCATGAACTGAACGGTCGGATAAGCTGTGTTTCACTTCGAAACCATTTGACCTAGTACTTTATCTTCTCCTCTTTTTCCTCCAACTTCTGCCTCAGTCTATTTTTATTGATGCTGAATTGCTCCGTGTTTGCTGCTTTTCGGAGCTATCTACTTGGCATCCGTTTGGAGCGGTGCCTCGCGCAGCAATCACACCGGCCTGAGAAAATTTAGGAGTTGCAATTCATTCAGGAATTGGCCCTTGGCTGTTTAGCCAGCCAACGAAAGGTGTTCCATAAATTCCAACTCCACTAATCGCTTATATGTTTTAGTCCAATGCACCATAATCCAAGTCATAGTAGAGCTCAGTTTCGTTCAACCTCGTTGTTTGGCTCATGCCCATTCACTTCGACAACCTCATGTGGTCAGCTAACGACGTGACCTTTCATCGCGCTGTCTGCGTTTTGGATGCGTCATCTCGTTACAACGAGATGGCACAGTGTCACGATCGCTAGTGGCACAGATGAGGCATTTTTTGTTTCCAGGTTACGTCCCTCGCACACTTCCATGTAACGGCCACAGGCATTTACGACACTGTTAACTGTCTCTTGTGCATAACGCAGATTGTTGTCATCGGATACAGAAGTCCCTAACTTGCCTCGCCAAGTTGGTGGTGGCTAGTTCTGTCGCACCAATGCAGGTGAATTCTCGATAGCGATCGGGGAGCACGTGCACGAACGAATGGACGTAGTTAGCATGAACTGATGGTTGGACAATAGGACGCGTTGACATTTGGCCTGACCACTGAAATATGCGAGGCTGATCGCAGTGGGCATTGAGTGCTCGTTCGCTGGGTAACGGAACACGGCCGACTGAGCATAGTTTAACAAAAATCACTTAGGATTTATGCGGAAGGTCAGAGACGATGTGTAAAATATGGGAATGGTTTCCCAGCAAATGGATGAAAACACTTTGTAAACGATACATGTGACTCACCACCTGCATTTGAACAAAGAACAGGGTTGCGGCGCCCATGGTCAGTGTGAACTGGACCCATGGCAGTACGACGTTCAATAAAGTGGTACAAGGCCACAATGAAAAAGACGTAGTTAACAGATGCATTTGAAAACCGATTCAAAACACTTGGGGTTTAGCACCAAATCTTAGGAGGAAATCGGGGTGGGGAACGATCGAGGAATACAGAAACTTGACAAGATTACGAATGATAGAGCCACTGAGAGACAATGTTGCAAACCCATGAGTGAAAAGCGTGTTCTCCCTTTACAAGGCGCATATTGACTGAACGACCTATAGGCACTTGATCCAGACCCAACATGTCTATCAAAATGGCATGATACTGTGCAAAGTAACAGTACAAGACATCGTATTCCTGTTATAGGTAAAGATAGATGGGATTGCTCACTCGCCTTCAGCAAGTTGCGTCATCATTGTGGATGATAACTCCAAAGCTACACATAAATACATTGCAGAGTATTCGTTCAGACAACAAAGTTTAGGGAACTGAGTTCAATATCCTAACACGTATTGAAAATGGACAATATAGGTGCGTAGAAGACTGGAATTGAAGGGCGTTTCGGAGCATGTTGACCCGGTGTTTTGGTTGAGCGTCACAAGGTGTCGGCATACATGACTGCGATTACTCAATATATGGTATATTAAACCGATGTATCCCCCTAACGTCCAATGAGCAGTTGGGTCAGTTGTTGCTGAGTTCTCCGAGCTGGGCAACTTGGTTGCAGACGTTTCGCCACCATTCGAGGTGGCATCTTCAGTGCGGGATTGATAGCAGTAAAGTAGCAGTAGCTGGTAGAAAGCAAACCCATTATTGGGTTAGCTTTCTACCAGCTACTGCTACTTTACTGCTATCAATCCCGCACTGAAGATGCCACCTCGAATGGTGGCGAAACGTCTGCAACCAAGTTGCCCAGCTCGGAGAACTCAACAACAACTGAGCAAGCCTCCCGAGCTACCAATATTCCAAATCATTTCGTCCAATGAGCAATTCGTGTCTCTGCAGTCGTTCTGATAGGGAAGGTGGACCAAGCCCTTGACAATCTACGTTCCCCTGCGTCTTTCGCGCGCAGCGAAGTCGCACTTTAAACAGCTGTGCAAAACTTGGATAGCGAATTCGACTTGGGACTTACATAGGCGTTGAGCACCCGAGAGCATATGGATGAATCTAAACTGCCGGGTGGCCTTGACAACAGGCCAACATATTGTTTGCCTGTTGTTAAATCGGAGTCCGACTGTCTGGAACAACAAATCATATTCAATACGAGACGACAGGTTTTTATTTTCTGATTATCTGATCAATTATGCATAACCGTTTTCTACACCCCTGGTCAGGTGCGACTTACAAATTGTACGTTCTTAAACACAACAATATCTGCTGAGGATGAAAAGTCTGTTATAAGCACATATCTCGATATGCGTAAATTATTTCATTGAGGTGCACACTTTCGATTGCGAAACGTGTCAATTTGTTGATATCTTGCAGTTGGTTGTATCTACGGACCTTTTCGAGCAAAGCATCATGAAAATTTGCAGCTGCTGGATGCTATGAACTCAGTTTCTAACACTACCTGCAAGTCCAAGCTTATGTGTGCAGATTTTAACGCGGCACAAGTTAACTGGGTACGGCCTAGACCTAGGGTATAAACGAAACAAGACGAAATGGTGTACTCTTTACACTTCAATTGCTGCATCACATATGTCAGAGGGCCCACCTCGAATGTCAATAC